ATGCGTGGCACCAGGGACAGATTGACTCATGCTGGCTGAATTCAATTGAATTGTCATGGAAATGTCTCTGTGGCCCCTGAACTGTGTCGTCCTGGGCAAGTGGCTTCTCCTTGGCTTCCTTCTGTGTGAAACAAAGTGCTCATCCCTGCCTCCCAGAGGCAAGGATTCAATGAGATAATGACTGTAAGAAATCAATGCTGGTTGCAGAGTGTTAGATAGGATTTCCACCATTTGCAGAATGAGACTCTCCAACCCTGGGCTCCCATAACTCCCAGGCTTCCTTGCTGCTGTACCTTAGCTGGCTATCGTACCTGTCTCCCAGAGAGCCTGGGAGCCAGAGGCAAGGGCTGTTGGCCAAATCATCTCCACATCACCAGTCTCGGGTGCCCGGCACTGGGTTGAGGAGAGAGGGAGGGACACAGGGTAAAAAGGAAGGTATAAAGGGCCTGCTGGCAGGCCGGGCACAGTAGCTCACGCCTGTGATCCCAACATTTTGGGAGGCCGAGGCAGGCAGATCACTTGAGGTCAGGAGTTCGAGACCAGCCCAGCCAAAATGGTGAAACTCCATCTCTACTAAAAATATAGAAATCAGCCAGGTGTGGTGGTGCATGCCTGTAATCCCAGCTACTGGGGAGGCTGAGACAGGACAATTGCTTGAACCCGGGAGGCAGAGGTTGCAGTGAGCCGAGGTCACACCACACAGAGTCTCCAGGAGCCAAAGAGCCCACAGTGGCCCTCCGTGGGGCAGCGGCTGGCAGGTGTAGCCTGGAGTTGTCCATCCTTGCCAGCAGGTCATGCAGTCCACAGCAGCAAACACTGCTCTCCAGGAAGCCAGTGCTGCCACGTGGGACTCCAGCATAAGTACGGGGAGGAGAGGGGTTCTGTCACCTGAGAAAGAGCAGGGGAGTCCTGCTGGACCTTCAGGCCCCTGGCCTCATCACATCCCCCAGCCTTAGATAAGGTCCTCCTCGAGCTGAGCTTCACCAACCGCTCCAGGGCATCCACAGCTGGGAAGCTGCCCTCCACTCCTGAGCCTGCGGCACATCCTCTTGCCTGTGATCTGGCCTGCTCCTCAGCCAGGAATCCTCCCTTGCTCACTTCTCCATCTGATCACCTTCTGTTCATTCAAGAGCCCAACCTAACCCATCTCCTCCTTTGAGTCTCTTTCAACTTTGAGATAGTGCCTCACATCATCACTGTGGCCCCCCTGGGAGTTAGTCACACCATGAATAAAGCAGGTACACAGGCTTTCACTGAATCCCCACAGCAACCTGCAAGTGAACACCATTGGTCCCATTTTACAGATGACGAGACTGAGATTCAGAGTGGCTGAGTACCTTGCCAAAACTCTTTCAGAGCAGAGAAGAGTGCGAAGCTCTCTTCCGTCTGCTCCAGACCTGCCCACCCTGGAGGAAGGCAGACTTGGCAGGGTGGGGTAGGGCTAGGGTGGAGACCCCCGGCCCTGAAGACTGCCTAATGCCAGGCCTGGGTGTGGGTCTCAAGAACAAGGTATTTGTCCATATTTATAGAGGGTTGGGTGGCCCCCAATCCCCACTACAGTCAGTATGTGGGGAGGTTTGGATAGGTCCTCAGAGCTGCAGGTGGCTGTGGTGACGCTACTGTCTCCCTCCCTCCCATTATGGTGGACAGAGCTGGCCTACCAGCCTCAGCACCTGCTTCCCCTTACCTGCTGTCACTCAGTCTGAGTCGCCGCTGATTTATCTGTCTGGCATTTTTTTTCTTTTTTTTTTTTTGAGACCTAGTCTTGCTCTGTCACCAGGCTGGAGTGCAGTGGCATGATCTCTGCTCACTGCAACCTCTGCCTCCCGGGTTCAAGCGATTCTCTTGCCTCAGCCTCCCGAGTAGCTGAGACTCTAGGCACTTGTCACCATGCCTGGCTCATTTTTGTACTTTTAGTAGAGATGGGATTTCACCATGTTGGCCAGGATGGTCTCTATCTCTTGACCTCATGACCCGCCTACCTCAGCCTCCCAAAGCACCGGGATTACAGGCGTGAGCCACTGCACTGCGCCTCCGTCTGGCTTTTGAGCTCACCTCTCCCTCTCCCTCAGCATCTCCCCTTCCCAGTCTCACAGGAGCCGTCTCTGTTTCTCCTGCTGTCTCTCGGTCTTGGTTTCTCTCAGCCTCTGAGTCTGTCCCAGTGTCTCCCTTTACCAAGTCTTCCTTCTCAATCTCAATCTTTCTCTCTGTGTCTCACCATCTCTCCCGTGTCTCTGACACTCTCTTCGTCTCTGTCTCCACCCCTGTGGGTCTCTGCCTCATAACTGTCTGTGTTGCTGTTTTGTTCCCTTCCTCTCTCTCCCTCCCTATTGCCTTTCTGCCTCTCTCTCTCTGCCTATGTCTCTCTCTCTCTGCCTTTGCATCTCTGTCACTGTCCCCGTCTCTGTCCCTATCTTCCCAAGTCTGTGTGTGTCTTAGTCTCTGAGCCTGTGGAGAGCAATGCCCCCCTCCAAGGCGTCCCCACCCCTGGCCCAACAGCAGCCCTGGCTTCTCAACATGCTCTTATGCAGGGGCGGGAGACCCCCGGGCATCATTCCAGGGCCCTCTCCAAATGGGTGCCAGTGCTGACTGACAAGATAGGAATCAGACTCAGCTTTGTTGGGGCCTGAGCAAGGGGCACAGCGGGCTACGCGGGGGCGTCTGGGTGCCTGTGAGTATCTGCATGTGTGTACACCCAGGTTTATGAGCGGGGCTCCCTGTGTGGGGTGGTCTGGGTGTCTGTCTAGGTAGATTGGTGAGCGTCTGGGCCTGTTTATGTCTGTCTGCAAGCATCTGTGTGTGTGTGGCTTTGTGTGAGGACCTTAGCCTGTGGGTCTATCCATCCATGAATGCCTCAAGAATGTGCATGCGTGCGTGTGTGTCTGTGGGCACCCGTATGAGTTGCTGGGGGTAACTGGCGTCACGGTGTCTGTCGGTCTGCAGTCCAGGCCCTCTGCTTGCATTCCCTCGCGGAGTCATCAGTGGCAGACAGATTCCATGACCCCATCTGGCAGGTAGAAAAGTTGAGGTTCTTAACCCCCTTGCTTGGATGAGTGACTATGAACATGTGTCTGCTTGAGGGTAAGAGCCTTTGATCCGAGGGCACAGACCTGGCTCCAATCTTAGCTCTTCCACCACTAGCTGTACGTTGGCTAATCTTGCTAAGTCTCCTGAATTCATTCAGCGAAACATGTATCGATCAGAAACAGATTTTTTTAAATAGGAGCTATCTTGGGAGAGATTGAAGGAAGCGGCCCTGAGGGAGACTTTTGGGTGGTGAAAGTGTCCTACACCTTGATTTGGGTGGTAGTTAAATGGGTGTGTTCGTTTGAAAGACACTACAGGCTGTTCATTACAAATGTGTGTACACTATTACATGCAACATAAAAGTTTACAAAAATTTTATTGGGCTCCTACTGTTTGCCAGACATTATAACAACAACAATAGTTTTTTTGGTTGGGGTGTGTGTGTGTGTGCACGCGTGCGCGCGCGCACGCAATGCACTTGGGGTTTTTAAAAAACATTTCAGAAAGTGAGTCAGTCTGGGCTTGAAGCACACTCAGCTCATTCCTGCCCCACTCCCTCCCTCCACCCTGTCCCAACAATGATGGCAGAGGGAGGAGGAGAGAGAGACTCCAGTCCTGGACTGGATGGTGCTTCTGCCACTCTTGCCTGGCTGTTTCCTCCTGACAGTGGCCATGATTTTCCATCTGGATGATCAAGTTGGTGGAGTCATTGCAGGGACATTTGGGTGGGTAACGGCTGACATCCAATGAAGCTGGTAGCAGAGTACTCCGAAGCAGGGCTTACAGTGAGAAATGAGGGGTGTCAGATGTCTGGGGGACAGACACCACACCTGCTTGGTGCATTCAGCAATGCCAGAGGATGCCTGGATACACACATTCCTGCTCTCCACCTGCGGAGTCCTCACATCACCTATCTGTCATTTACTACAATGCATCGAGCCCTACTCTATGTCAGGCCTTCTGCTGGGCCCTTCAACACATCTTACCTTTGCCCCCACTACAACTGCCGCGCAAGGGTCATTCCTTCATCTCATAGCTGAGGAAACTGACGCCCAAAGAAATGAAATGACTTCCTTCAGCTCACCCGGCTCAATAGTACGAATTCTAACCTCATACTGCCTGGCTCCAACCCTCCCTCCTCTCTGGGGTGTGTCTTTTCTCTGGGTTTCTGAGGTTCCCTGAAATTTTAGGAAAGGAACAGAATTCATTTGCTTTTGCCCTCTCTGGCGATTTTCAGATTTTGTGTCATTAGGAAAACCGGAGCTTAAGCTGCCCTTTGGTAACTGCGTTCACTACTCATAGGGAAAAGCTGCAGGTTTTTCAGGAGGCCTGCCTCATGGCCTGACATGCCTTCCAGCCCAGCCAGGAGCAGAGAAGAGCCTCCGACTTCTGCATCACGAGCATCTGGCAGGGTGTGCTCATTAAATATTTGAAAGAAAGAAAGAAAGAAAGAGAGAGAGAGAGAGAGAGAGAGAGAGAGAGAGAGAGAAAGAAAGAAAGAAAGAAAGAAAGAAAGAAAGAAAGAAAGAAAGAAAGAAAGAAAGAAAGAAAGAAAGAAAGAAAGAAAGAAAGGAGACTTTGCATATCCTCCACTTGAGGACATATCACACCCTGTTATCTTTTGTCTGTCCTGTGTCACCACTCTGATTCCTTGAGAGCAGGAACTGGATCTGTCTCTGCATCTCCATAATCTGTCCAAAGCCTGGCATAAGACAGGAGCCCCAGGAATATGTGATGAAGACGTGAAGACCTAGAATTTATCTCTGGGCTTCGGTAAAACTCTTAGGTCCTGTGAATTTCACACCCAACCAAATGGCAGCAGGACCAAGTAGTTTCGATAAGTGGTTTTATTACTGGTTAGATTTTACAAATTCTGATATTCGAACAGACTTCCACCTTAAAATTCTAAAACAACAAAGCGACCGTTGGAGGGGGTTTGATTTTTCCTTTTTTTTTTTCTTTTTTTCTTTTTAGGACTATTCAAAGTAACAAACTTTTTTTTGTTGTTTTTTGTTTTTTACATTTTTGCTCTGGTCATAAATATACAGAGAAAAAGAGGGAGAGAAAAATGAACAAGTCATCCAAAGTATGGAGATAAAACAGTATTCCTAAGGCACGTGGCAGTCTTTGAAAATACAGAAGCTCTAGCCAACTTAAATTATTTGTTGTTTTTCCTCGCTCAGTCCACAAAACTGTACAGTGACACAAATGTTGTGTTGCAGGTAGATCTTCCAAGTTGTCGGTCCACACCGCTGCATTAGCTGGGTGCACACTTGTTTTTTTTTTCCTCTGTTTCCAGGCGAGATCCTAAAATGTGGTTAGTTAGTTGCTCAAAGCCTCTATTTTAAAATACACTTGGAATTCAACTAAAGATAATTTCTTTTTTAAAGAAATTGTGGGGTGGGAGGGTGCGAGTCATTAGAAAAGGTTGGTAAGAGTCGTTTGTGAGGGGCTGTGAGGCTCATGGCCCTCCAGGTTGCCAGGCACAGAAGTTAAGACGGACGTCACAGTTGGCAGGGTGGGGCTAGTCAAGTCTGTCAGGGTGGTGGGCGTGCTGGAGGGGCTGAGGGAGGCGTTGGAGAGCTCCGAGGCCGGGCCCGATGGCGTCCCTGTCTGCAGCGCCGTGTCTGTCGACTTGTCCACGCCCGTGTTTTCCTGCCGTAAGAGGTTGCGCCTGAACTTGGCTCGGGCGTTCTGGAACCAGACCTGCAGGGGACGACAGGGAAGGACTATTGAGCAGAAGGCAGGCAGAGCATACCCCCGACTGCTTCACTCAGAGCTCTGCTGCCTCTGGGGACACTAATCTGCCTTTTGCGAAGAGGATCCAAAAAGTCAGGTTGGCGATGTTTTGCTTTTTGGGTTTTTTTGTTTTTGTTTCTGTTTGGAGACAGGGTCTGGCTCTGTCTCCCGTACTGAAGTGCAGTGACACAGTCTCAGCTCACTGCAGCTTCAAACTCCCGGGCTCAAACGATCCTCCCGCCTCAGCCTCCCGGGTAGCTGGGCTATACAGGTGAGCATCACCGGCTCCGCTAACTTTTTAATTTATTTTTTGTAGAGACAGGGTCTTGCAACGTTGCCCAGGTTGGTCTCAAACTCCAGGTTTCAAGCGATCCTCCTGCCTCAGCCTCCTAAAGGGTTGGGATTACAAGTGTGAGCCACTGCACCTAACCCATATTTTGCTCTTCATAAAATAAAACAAAAATTTCACTTTATCTAATGGGCTATGGCTGGGCTTCTCTTTCTGATAGGAGGTTCCAGAGCTGAGCTTTACTCCTGAATGTCACAGCCACGAGTCACGTATGGTGGCTGAGCACTTAAAATGGCATTAGACCAAATTCAACCAGTCTGCAGGTGAAAACACACAACCTATCTGGCGGCCGAATATGAAAAAAAAAAAGCAGGTAGAATATCGCAATAATTTTTATATTGATTACATGTCGAAATGATAATAGTTTGGCTATACTGAGTTAAACAAAATCCATTATTAAAATTAATTTTACTTGTCTCTCTTCATTTCTTCAAGGAGGCTACTAGAACATTTAAAACTTAAAATTAAATGTGTGCCTCGAGTTGCATTTCTATCAGACACAGCAAACACACACACCAGACAAATCTTGATCCTTTTCCTAATGGTTGTTTGAGACATTCCTTTTTTTTTTTTTTTTCTTTTTCCTTTTTTGGCAGTTGCCTTTCAGCAGACAATAAACCCCACAAGTTCTTGTTGGTAAAATGTTTTAAATGTTTCGTGGTCAGTAAGTCTGGGAATGGGATAAAGAACACATGAGAATCAGGCAATAATAATGAGTTACTAAGAGGAAGTGAAAGACACAGAACCTATTCCCCATCATCAGTTGGAGAAGCCACCAGGTACCCTGGGCCACCGGGTCCCAGGTCTCAGGGTGGAGGTGGGTGGAGGTAGGCAGCGTGGGAACAGCAGCCAAATTAAAGCGAGGCCAGGGAAGTTGAAACCCACAGAGTCTCTCTCCTGACCTGCTGCATCCCGTACCGGCTTATGAGGGACGTGCGGCAGGGCTCGGTGCTGGGGCTGAGCTCGGTGCGAAAAGAATGTCAGTGAGAGAACATGGGATTACTTTCATTTTTCCTTGGGCACAGACACACACGCGTCCACTCCCATATCTCTGCACACATGCCTGTATGCATTCAGGAAGACACACTGAAATTCATCTAAGGCCCGGCATGGTGGCTCAAGCCTGTAATCCCAGCACTTTGGGAGGCCGAGGCAGGTGGATCACTTGAGATCAGGAGTTCGAGACCAGCCTGGCCAACATGGTGAAAGCCCATCTCTACTAAAAAATATTAAAAATTAGCTGGGCGTGATGGTGCGCTCCTGTAATCTCAGCTACTTGGGAGGCTGAGACAGAAGAACTGCTTGAACCCGGGAGGCGGAGGATGCAGTGAGCCGAGATCACGCCACTGCACTCCAGCCTGGGCCACAGAGCAAGACTCCATCTCAAAAATAGAAAAAGAAAAAAGAAATTCATCTACACAGCCAGTACCCAAGTACAACCACCCATCTAACAGCACAAACACAGAGAGCCGCTGTACCCAGAGGTCCACGCAGTACTTTGGGAGGGGCTTAGGAAATCCAGGCCACTGTTGGGGGGGGGGTGTTGAACCTTCCAAGGAAAAAGGCCCGAAAGACAGGGCCCCTTCACTTCCCTTTGCGTGAGGAAAACACTCGCCAGAAGCCTCCCCATAAAACAAAGGGCCTCAGGGCACTCTGCAGATTCTGGGGTGTCCAGTTGCGCATTTCCAGATGTCCTGCATCTGCCTTGTCTTCCCAGTGTCTCTGGCAGGAGAGGGAGGGCTGACTCCTGGCCCCACCCACCCCTTGGGACCACCCCGGCTGCAGGGGCCTGTGGCCTCCAATCCCCGTTTCTGGTGGTCTAACACAATTTGGGCTCAATTAAAAGCACATCCACGAGAATCTTGGAGTAAAGTGGGAGATCCAGACCCTGTGAAGTGGCGAAGCCAAGCTCCCTCCTCAGCGCTGGATCTTCCCAGGAAGAAGGCACATTTTCCCTGGCTCTCTGCCCAAAGAAAGCCCGTCACCCCTTCTGGGGGCTGGCAAGTAAGTACAGTGCTTCTCAGACCACCCTCGACATGCTCTCCCTGGGGTCGGGGGATCCTTCCCTTTCCCGGCCAGCAGAAATCTGTAGGGGAGAGACTGTGTCCTGGTAGCCTAAGGAAGAGCTGATGAAGAAAATGGATGGGGAAAGCTCCCAGAGGCTCTCAGAGGGAGGAAGTGACTTCCCCAGAGTCATGCTTCGTGCCGCCGCTTTGCCACTGTCCTGGCCTGTGTGCGTGTGACCCGTGAGCAGCCTGTGCTCTGTGCATCTGACTCTCTGAGCAGTAGCTGGAGCGGGGAGCCTGGGTCGAGGGTGGAGGGTGCTTTGCTGCATGCTCATTTGCTCATCCATCCCGGGCTGCAAGACCTCAGGCAGGGCTGGACCCGGTTGGTTGCTGGCTGTTTGCTATTTCTCAGGCTGTTGCCCCTAACAGTGGGCTTGTAAACAATGACACCATCGTCCACAACTGCCTTCTCTGCTTTCCAGAGCTGAGGCGCTGGGAATCTGGTGGACGAAAATTCAACAACTTGATTAAAAGCCAGTCTGCTCTGGGGTTGTGTGGGGTTTGTTCTTCGTGTTAAGGCAGGGCTTCACTAGAATTCTCTCCCAGGTATTTCAAAAAGCCCACTCCTGAGAGGTGGATGGGGGCAGGGACCCTGTCTATGCTATCTTCATATCCCCCGGCACATGGCAGACACTGGCAGGGATTAAGAATCAGTAATATGTAGTCATAGGAATGGCTGACATGTATGTACCTTTTACTACGTGCCAGGCCCCATGCCACCCTCCAGCATGCACTGTGACAGGTTATTCCCATGAAAAGCCAAGTAGGTGGGTTTGATTATTATTATTCTCATTTTATAGATTTATTTATTTACTGTTATTATTATTATTATTGTTTGAGACAGAGTCTTGCTCTGTCACCCAGGCTGGAGTGCAGTGGCGCGATCTCGGCTCATTTCAACCTCTGCCTCCCAGGTTCAAGTGATTCTCTCCTGCCTCAATCTCCCGAGTGGCTGGGATTACAGGTGCCCGCCACCACACCTGACTAATTTTGTTTTTTCTTTCTTTTTTTTTTTTTTTTTGAGATGGAGTCTTGCTCTGTCATCCCCAAGCTGGAGTGCAGTGGTGTGATCTCGGCTCACTGCAATCTCCACCTCCCGAGTTCAAGCGATTCTCCTGCCTCAGCCTCCCAAGTAGCTGGGATTACAGGCACCTGCCACCATGCCCGGCTAACTTTTTGTATTTTAAGTAGAGACGGAGTTTCACCATGTTAGCCAGGCTGGTCTCAAACTCCTGACCTCAGGTGATCCGCCCAGCTCGGCCTCCCAAAGTTCTGGGATTATAGGCGTGAGCTACCGCGCCTGCCCTCACTGTATAGATTTAAAAACCAGAGAGGGTCAGAGTGGTGAAGTCACTTGCCAAAGGTCACACAAAGGGCAACCTGAGACTTAGGACCATTTGCCCTAAAAGAGTCCATGCTCTCCCTGCCACATGGTCCTGACGGAGGTAGCAAGCCCGTGAATGAGTGAATAAATGAATGAATAAACAGAGAAGCAACTATGGTGCAGTGGAAAGAGCAGCTTCCAGTCCTGGGACTGCCACGTGACCTCGGGTTTGTCCCTCACCTCTGGACCTGCCTCAGTTTCCTCACTTGTACAACAAGAGGGTTAGACCACATCATATGGCTCTCAGGGTTCTGACCAGCTGGGATTCTTAGGCAGCCACAAGCAACAGGGTGCGATCTGCCCCACCTACCCATCTTCTGAAACTGACAGGCCTCTCTTTTCACATGCCTCAAGTTCTCTGGACTGTGTGTCTGGGACAACAAGGCCAAGTTCACACAGAGAATCATCAGGACACAACTAACACCAGGCCAGGGGTGCCCGAGCCTGGTGCACAGTAGACCTCCAATAAGTCCTGGGTAGATGAAGAAGCACATGTTGCTTCTTGCCCCCTTCCCAGGCACTACCTGGCCATGCAAGCTGTGTTTTGCCTCACAAACCTCCTTCCCCAGAATTCTTTCATCAAGAAAGCCAGGAGGGCCAGTGGGAAACCCATTTTGCCCCCAGCAAATCCCCACCTGGGATGCTAAGGAAATCAGCCAAAAGATGAAAGCTTCATGCCCATCATGGCATTTTTAATAACATCAAACTAATGGCTGCATCCAAAGTGTCCACTCAGATGCGGCAAGTGGGAGTCATGACACAGCCACTCCAAGATGCCACAGGGGAAATGTCTTGTGATGGCTGTTAGGTGAAAAAAAAGGATAAAAAAATTATGTCCTCTGGTATTGTCCCTTCATAAAGAAAATAATAATGATGAATACTATTCCCCATGAAGTACCAGACATCTTTTTTTTTTTTTTTGAGATGAAGTCTCGCTCTGTCGCCCAGGCTGGAGTACAGTACGATCTCAGCTCACTGCAACCTTTGCCTCCCAGGTTCAACCTATTCTCCTGCCTCAGCCTCCCAAGTAGGTGGGAATACAGGCATGAGCCACCATGCCCGGCTAATTTTTTACATTTTTTAGTAGAGACAGGTTTCACTGTATTAGCCAGGATGGTCTCCATCCCCTGACCTTGTGATCTGCCCACCTTGGCCTCCCAAAGTGCTA